TAAAGTAATCATGGGCTAGTAAATTTTTGATCAAAATGAATTTGCTCATCCCCCTAAAAAATTGATGACGCCACCCCAAAATTTTGAATAAATGCTATCTTAAATGTGCAAAGGATGATGAATGAGCCTATACTTGTGATTTATCACTGCATCAATATTTTTTAGATTTACTTATACGGGGTGTCTGAAAAAATTAATGACTGGGTCAATTTATTATATTGATTAAAACAAGAATTGCAAAACTGAATACTTTGGAATCTTGACGTTTTGTGAGCATAGTAATTTTTTAGTCAAAATGTATCTGTTTATCAACCTCAAAAAATTGATGGTCATTTCAAAATTTTTCCGAATAATGAGTCCGTTAATAATGGACCATTTCTATTTTACAATTTAACTGTCAAATGCACAAACCGATACATGGCAGTATAGGTTTTATTATCAATAGTGCCAACATAATGTCACAAAATACTAACATTGCTGATTTAGTGAAAGAAACGACTCCTGTCAAAGGTAGAAGAACGTGTAACACGTACAATGTACAGTACAATATGCTTCAATTACAAAAGTTACAATATACACACAGCTCCACGTTTGCTACCAAAGAGCGATGACTGCGCTCGCTCGTTGCTGTTGCCCGGCAAGAACCAAACAATATGAGGAGGTTTGGAGCGCGTCTTGCCATGAAAAGAGTGAACTAGGGTTTGCTAGCATGGGTGAAGGACTTTGTAAATTATGAACGTCGTACTTTGTGAATTATAAGCTTATCATATTTAAACATTACTTAATTATGTTCAGAAATTATTTAATTATAACGTAAAAAATTATAGCCTTGACAGACCAACTTCAATCGTTTCGAAAATTTCCCCAAAATTTAAATATTATCGAGTAAACGAATTACGGAACCCGATAAATTAAAATTGAAATCGTACTTATCCCGTTTCCGGTACTTTTGGAAAAATTATCACTTTCGTTCGTGTTCACAGTACCATCACAACATATTTTCACTATTCTGGATTCTGGATTCTTAATTTATGGGGGCTGACCGTGGCCAGCCGGCACTTAGGCCTCGCCTTTGGGCCCATTGTACCTTCCCCAAGTCCATATCAGGGTGTTTTCCCGCTCCTCTACTCGTCAAGCCACCCAACTGCTTGAATGTACTTGAGTAATGCAGAGGGTGGAAACTCCCTGATATTTGCCATACTAGGCCAGATGTCCCCTAGTATGGATTCCCTGTAGGAGGCTAGGGCTGGACACTCACGAAGAATGTGCTCAGCTGTTTCCTCTTCTTCATTGCATCCACGACAGATTGGGTCTGTTACCACCCCTATCGTATATAGATGTTTGTTAAACTGGTAATGTCCCGTAAGGAATCCTACCAGTTTACGCAGTTTGTCCCTTGAAAGTGAGAGATAAAATTTCGTCAACTTACGGTCTGGTGTCGCCATACAAGCTCTACTATGCCGACAGCTGCTCAACTTCACCCATATCTGCTCATGGCGTCTCTGGGTATATTGCTTTACGAGTTCGTTCGAGAGGGCGACCGAAGGCGTGATTGCCGGTTCGGGTCCCCAGAAGGGCATGCGCGCGGCTCGCTTCGCCATCTCATCTGCCCTCTCGTTTCCTTCGTTGCCACTGTGTCCTTTGATCCAACAAAGTTCCACACTATTCCTCTGCGTTACATACTTTAGCGTTTGTCTGCACTCCCAAACCAGCCCGGATCGAACCATACAGCTGTCCAGGGCTAGTAGTGCAGACTTGCTGTCAGTAAGTATGCGTATTGATTTGTTGCCGATTTCACGTTCAGCAATGATTCTAGCTCCCAGCATTATTCCCATCAGTTCTGTTTGTAAGACAGACGTGTGGGTGCCGAGAGGTACACTAATTTGTGCGTTCAGTTGTTCGGAGTAGATGCCGGCTCCTGAACCACTATCTGTTTTGGCACCATCGACATAGATATCTATGTCGGCTCGTCCTTCTGAATTATCATTCATTGATATTCTATATGTCTTCTCATATATTAATTTTGTGCCCATTCGGTCACAGCCCATCCTTAACAAGGGTATTCTGTTGAACGCCTCCGTTAAGATCCGAGTGTGCTTCGTTGTGCGGCCTTGTTTGTTCCATACTCCCAGAGAGTGAAGTCTTAGAGACGTCGTCATTGCCGCTTCCTCTATGTAAAGGTTAAGAGGTGCTAAGCAAAGAAGAGTCTCCAGAGCCGCTGTGGGAGTGGTCCTCATTGCTCCTGTAACACTGAGACACGCCATTCTCTGAACGTGTTCAAGTTGCAGGGCTGTTGTTTTTTGTCTGGCTCTGGGCCACCAAACTAAAGCTCCATAGCACAGCATCGGTCTGACTATTGCCGTGTAGATCCAGAGGGCGATCTTGGGATTTAAACCCCACGACCTTCCCACCACCCTACGACATTGCCAAAGAGCCGAGCGTGCCTTTTCTACTTTATCATCTACATGCTTCTTCCAATTCAGTCGCCAGTCCAATACAACTCCCAGGTATTTGACTTCGTCCGAAAGTTGAAGCGTTGTGTTAAATATTTTTGGCATCTGTAGTGTGCCAATTTTCCTTTTCCTGGTGAACAGGATTAGTTTCGTCTTTTCTCCATTAACGGAGAGGGTATGCATATTTTCACTAATATTTATTAATAATAAATTAGAAATTCGCGAAAATAAGCCAAACCGGAGCTCCGATGTTGCTGCCATCAGACCGAAATCTAAACAGAACACAAGGGGCCGAAAAATGTGACTTTTGCTCAGGTAGCTCACGTGACAGTGACGTCATCCTACGTCACGATGAGATTGCAAACATTATTTTTCATATTTTGGCCAGGAAATTGCACATTTTCGGGGTTAATTTAATAATATTTAAACAAATTGCTTTGTTTTTAGTAACTTTACTTTTTGAAGAAAACGGTGTTCGATTTAATTATCATATATTAATACTTATCGTATTTAAACATTATAAATAATATTAGTTATGTTTAAATATTATTTAATTATATCGTGAAAATGTATAAATTTGATCGACCAACTTCAATCGTTTCGAAAATTTCCCCAAAATTAAACTTTGTCGAGGAAACGAATCACGGTACCTGATAAATTAAAACTGAACTCCTACTTACCCTGTTTTCGGTCCTTTTCGGAAAAATATCTATTTTCTTCCGTGTGCACAACTATAACACAACACATTTTCCTTAATATTTATTAATAATAAATTAGTAATTCGCGAAATTGCTATACTTTTACGCCAAAAGGACGCGACGATCTTGTCACCATCAAACAAAAATTAAAACTGAACACAAAAGACCGAAAAACGTGACCTTTGGACAGGTAGCTCACGTAACAGTGACCTCATCGCACGTCACGATGAGATTGCAAAAATTATGTTTCATATTTTGCCCTGAAAATTAGACATTTTCAGGATTAACTTAACAATAGTTAAACAAATTGCTTTGTTTTTAATACCATCGTGTTTTTAGTAAAACCGTTTGATTATCATATATTAATAGTTACTTAACATATTTGAACATTATAAATAATATTAATTATGTCTAAATTTTATTTAATTATATCGTGAAAATGTATAGCTTTGACCGATCAACTTCAACCGTTTCGAAATTTTTTCCAAAATTTAAACATTGTCGAGTAAATGAATTGAAGTCGTACTTACCTCGTTTTCAGTCCTTTTCGGAAAAATATCCACTTTCGTTCGTGTTCACAGTACTAACATAACACATTTTCACTAATATTTATTAATAATAAATTATAAATTCGCGAAAAGAAGTCTACATTTAAGCCAAAATATTTTGCCTTTTTTTCTTGTTCGTAATCTTCTTTTCGCAACAGAAAACTTAAAACGTGTTTAAAACAGGAAATATGTATTGTCGTGAAAAGATTGTTACGTATATCTAGAAAAAAGGTAAAATTTAAGTTCCGCCCTCGCACCACCATCTCAATTGTAATGATGTTATTCGTTGTAAATATTGAAATTCTAAAAAATTGTTATACTTCATATTGTAAATTGTGGCGATGCGAGGGAAGTTGTGTCGAAACTACTTTCGACCAATTTTTTTTACCACGTTTTTAAATTTCTTGTTGTGAAAAGATGACTACACATATTAAGAAAAAAAGGCAAAATGTAAGCCCTTGCAGTTATAATACCTAATCTGTTTTTGAGACGAATAGCAATCAATTTTGTTGATTTAATAAGCGTTGAGAACTATCTTTAACAATGCGTAAGTACTGACAAATAGCTACAGTGTAGAAAATGATGGCAGCTATTTAAAATATGATGGTTTCAGTGAGTAGGTGATTAAATGGGTTAATATTAGTGGACTTCATTTTCTATCTATATGTTCCAATTACAGTTATTACGGGCAAACAGTTTCACCTACTTACTTTCAGCAGATAGGCAACCAACAATACATTTCTTCATCTTTTAACCCATACCTAAGGAAGGATGTGAAGAGCTTTATTTTGTCTAAGCTCCCAGACCTATGCACTGTGTTTTGTGTTATTACCTAAAATATACCGTTTAAATAATAAAAATTAATTTTTTAGAAAGAGCTTTTGAAGACATTTTAGTATTACGCAATTGTAAGGTTAGACGACTTAAAATTGAATTAATTTCATAATAAGAGCTGAAAAAAACTTTAAGTTGAATTTAAGTTCCATTTTCCCTGAAAAATAGCTAACTCGAAGGGCGAAAACATACACAAGGTGTTTTATAATTAATTGAATTATATGCATTTCATTCCAAAAAAAAAATCTTTACCATTATGCAAAATTATCCGCCAAGCAACCGAAATTGTGTCTCTGCACCGTTAACTTCTGATCATAGACTCCTACTCGCCTGACAAGGACCTTGCCACCGGCTGAATTCCATCACCGTTATCGTCAAGTGTTCAATAAAACCATAAACTTGCGACGCCAATAACTGACCAATAACTGACCCATCCATTGCCCCAAGCACAAAAATATAAAAATTAGCTCATATCTCTCGGATTAATTAGCCACTTTAATTAGCTCTCACTCTCAAAGCTCAAACAAAAGTACAAAATTTGTAACAGCAAAATGACATTGTGCGTTTATTCTTTAATTCGTATTTAATATTCACTTTCAGTAAACAACGCACTCTTTCTTTTGTTAGAGGACTCAATTTCTACCAACCGGATGCTATAAGTATGCTACAAAACTGTAAATCGAAGATGGTTGGGTGCAGCATAGCGAACAGGTCTTAAGTCTTTGGCATTTTCAGGCTAAATTTAACTATCCAGCCACCAGTGCACAAGAAACAAGAGTCGCTCAACGACGATAGCAACATGAACAAATGGCTCATTTCGTACACAATCTTAGTGTCTTTGTGTTCTTGTAGACAACTCCGTAAGTACCACAAAGACAGCTCTAACAATAACAATAATAATAACAATAGTAGTAGTAGTAGTAGATGTTTTGCCTGAATGCCGGTCATTGTCCGGGTCAGTGCACTACAACGTGACTAATAATAATAATAATTTTCAGCGTACAATTTCAAAAGATGTGACGTCACGAAACCCACCTTCAACGACTGCCTCACCAGGGCCATTCCTGAAGCCATCAGACTGCTCAAAACACCCATGAGAAAACTAGGTTTACCCAGCATGCACCCATTGGTGATCCCCGCGATGTCCATCTCCTCCGGTCCTGGCGTCACTGGGTTCGAGCAAAACTACACCGAATTTAAAACCTGGGGGTTCACGTCGATGGGTTGTTCCCAAGTTAAGTGAGTACAAATTTTTAAGGTTTGGTGCTAAAATGGTAATCAAGGTTGGATTTGGAGGGAAAAAATATGACTATGAGGTGCTTTACACCCCAGTTGAGGATCGAGACAGAGTACACTTTTAATGGGTCGATGAGTGTGATGCCCATTTATGGCAACGGGAGTGGGACGGTGATTTTGGGTGAGTTTGATACCGTTGGAGGTTTGCACTTAATGTTTTTTTTTGTTTTTTTTAGATAAGGTAAGGTGTTTTCATACCTATGAGTTTGAAGAGTATTTGAAGAAAGGGAGGAGGCATTTTAAGGTGGTGAATAGTTCGCTGGATGTAAATCCGGGACATGTTATGTATCATTTTGATAATTTGTTTGATGGCGATCAATTTTTGGGGGATCATATTAATTTGGTTATGAATGATAACTGGAGGGAGGTTTATGAGGGTATAAAGCCTTTGTATGAGGAGGGTTTTACGAAAGTGTTTCAGGCGATTTTTAATCGTTTGTTGGAGAGGGTGGCCGTAGATGATATTTTTATCAATAGTTGAGAAATTTGTTTATATAGTTACAGTTAAATAAATGTGTTTTAAATAAGTTGACGTCGTTTTTTACAGCACTAACACTCGAAATAACCAGAAGCAAATTTGACGTTTAAAAAAATTATAAAGCATTTTGATTTATTGTTAGTGTTGTGATGAAAATTATGTATATACTTATTACAATTTAGGACCAAATAATAGAAAATTCATTTTAGATTTTTGTCAGATTTGGAATTATTCCATGAACATCATTTTTTGATGACGTTAGCAGGGGAATTTAAAAACTTACTGTTGACGTTGAAGTTCCCGCTGACGTTGCTTTTAGAGCTGAGAATTGTCATTTATAAACTCCGTTATCAAGTTGTCGTTGATAGTAATTTTGATGTTCAACTTTTCCGGTATTTAAAGGGATTGTAGAAAAAAACTGAACGATTTAAGTTGATTACTACAAAAATATACTATTTTAGACATGTTTTCAGTTTATTGTTTTCGAAATAAGTCTACACATACTAAGAACAAAAAGGCAAAATGTAGCCCCACCCACCCGCCCTGTCTCAATTGTAATGATCTTTTTTTATTCGTCGTGAGCCAAGAAGGCGGAGCTTAACTTCAAAATCCTTATTTCTCTACGAGAAATTAAAAACATGTTTTTGAGTATCGTGTTGTTCAAAGAATACTATGTATATTTAGAAAAAAATAAAGCCATAGATTAGGTCCCACCTAGAGACCCTAGATATACTTTAGACAAGAGTTGTGACACGGACATTTTCTGTCTCTATCTTTGTTACATGGCGGTCAGTTATGAAATAGCTATAGTGATTGCTGTCTTTATCTAATTTAGTGATTTAGTTTCAAAAACTTCAAAAGAAATTTATAGGTTACGTTACATTTTCAAACAGTGGTGTAGTGCTCCCAATAGTTTCTTTGAAATTTTGTTGACAGTACTGACACTGATAGTACCTTGTATTTAAGAAGAAGTGTTATGCGGTTAAGTACTTCTTACAAGTTGCAACCGACATCTCTAGTAAAACAAAAAAAACGCGGAATACCTTATCAATAGAAAAAAAAAAAAAGATTCCGGTGCCTCTACTTATATTAAATAAAACTTACAAGTTAAAATTTGGTACTTCTTTTAATTAAAATAACAATAAAAAAATTACAAAAGCAAGCAGGGTGTATCGAATTTCTGTAACTCGAAATATTTAAGAAATGTTCCACAAACAATGAATTAAATGGCCGAAGAATACATGAGGTTGATTCTAATTTCTTTTACAGTTCTAGATAATGCGTCTCCGTGTGTGGAATTCCCACTAAAATGATAACATACGATTTGTTTCCATCGTAAGGTTACACCTACTGACACAAAAAACAAAACATGGGTAGCGACTTAATTTAAATTTGTTAATGTTGTTTCCCAAAAGTAATGAGGAACCTGGACTGTATTCTTTAACTGGATTTATTGCTGCTTCGTCTAAAAATAAACAATAATCTCTTTCCTAATCATTAAAATTTTGAATTTTGAATGTTATATAGGTGAAAATTTCATGCAAAATTCCTGGTTAAAACGGTACCTATCTGCTGAATTTTACGGCATAGGGTTCTACTTGAAGGTAACAGAAAATTTATATTTAGAAGATATAGTTAAGTCTTGATGTTCCACAGACAAATTTTGTTTTAATGGCTTCTTCTATTGCTTCGTTGTTCCACCGTTTTAGTGGTTTACGTTTAACACTTACATTTTTCCTTTGGTTTTCGTTGAAAATCCTTTTTGTAGTTCTGTTTTATGCATCGTTCTTATTTTTGTAATTTACCACTTGCCGAAGGTAACGGTGGGTGCTGAAAAAGAAATTCATGTTTTGAAAGCAAAAATTCCTAGTTTACTTCTAAAGCACCCACCGTTATTTTTTCTTGTAACTTTAAATTTTCGTTTTGCAGTTTTTTGATGCAATTGTCTTTTTAGAAAATACTCATAGTCTCCTGAAGTTTATCAATAACATTTTTTTTGCCGACAGCCGGTCATTTTGACGTAAACTCAGCCACATTATAAATTGTTGGAATTGCGTTCTCACATACTTTGCATTGACTTCAAATATAAAATTTTCTTTTTTGAAGTGAACCTGTTGACCAAGGATTAGATGGAAAATGCAGTTTTGGACAGATAACAACCTCGCAGATGTAAACCCTTTTGCCAATTTTTCAGGATGGATATTGTGTCTGTTCTCTCCATTTGTTAAGTAATATCTTGTTTTCGGGGCATTTGAACAATGGGAAACCATTTGCTTCCGTATTTCTACAGTTTTGTACACAGCAGACGACGACTATTCTCTTCCACGTCTATGTATGTACTAAATGACAATTACAAATTGTCAAAACATGACACAAAAAAAGCATCCGTAGCCAGCATAGTAAAATAAAATTTACCATTAATTTTGACGTTTCGTGTCACAACTCTTTTCTAAAGTATATCTAGGGTCTCTAGTCCCACCCACACCTGCCCAGATCTCAATTCTCAGTTGTGATGATTTCTTGTTGTGAAAAAATGACTACACATATTAAGAAAAAAAGGTGAAATTGTAACCACCCGCCCACCCGCCCTGTCTAAATTGTGACGAATTTTTCATTCGTTGTCAGATCGAGGGGCGGGGCTTAAATGCGATATCCATATTTGTCTACAAGAATTTACCACTTTAAACATGTATTAAGTTTGTTGATCTGAAAAGACGGCTACGTATATTAAGAAAAAAGGCAAAGTATAAGCCCCGCCCACCCACCCTGTCTCGATTCTGATGATTTTTTTTTATTCGTCGTCAGCCGAGAGGTGGAGCTTAATTGTAAAATCCCTAATCTTCTACTCGAAATTACCGTGTGAAATATGTTCTTAAGTAGTCGTGTTCTACAAAGAAAACTAGATGTATTAATTAAAAAAGAAAAGCAACAGAAAAGCCCCACCCATCCGTCTCGATTTCAATCGTAAGGAAATTTTCATTGGTTGTCAGACCGAGTAACGAAGCGTAATTGTAAAATCTATACATATTTCCCTATACAAATTTACCATTTGAAACAAGTTTCAAGTTTCTTGTTGTGAAAAAATGACTACACATATTAAGAAAAAAAGGCGAAATTGTAGCCCCGCCCACCCGCTCTATCTAAATTGTGATGAACTTTTCATTCGTTGTCAGATCGAGGGGCGGGCCTTAAATGCAAAATCCATGTTTGTCTACAAGAATTTACCATTTTAAACATGTATTAAGTTTCTTGTTCTGAAAAGACAGCTACGTATATTAAGAAAAAAGGCAAAGTATAAGCCCCGCCCACCCACCCTGTCTCGATTCTGATGATTTTTTTTATTCGTCGTCAGCCGAGAGGTGGAGCTTAATTGTAAAATCCCTAATCTTCTACGCGAAATTACCATGTGAAATATGTTCTTAAGTAGTCGTGTTCTACAAAGAAAACTAGATGTATTAATTAAAAAAGAAAAGCAACAGAAAAGCCTCACCCATCCGTCTCGATTTCAATCGTAAGGAAATTTGCATTGGTTGTCAGACCGAGTGGCGAAGCGTAATTGTAAAATCTATGCATATTTCCCTATACAAATTTACCATTTGAAACAAGTTTCAAGTTTCTTGTTGTGAAAAAATGACTACATATATTAAGAAAAAAAGGCGAAATTGTAGACCCGCCCACACGCCCTATCTAAATTGTGATGAACTTTTCATTCGTTGTCAGATCGAGGGGCGGGCCTTAAATGCAAAATCCATTTTTGTCTACAAGAATTTACCATTTTAAACATGTAGTAAGTTTTCTTGTCCTGAAAAGACGGCTACGTATATTAAGAAAAAAGGTGAAGTATAAGCTCCGCCCACCCACCCTCTCTTAATTGTGATGATTTTTTTTTTAATCGTCGAGAGCCAAAGGAGCGGAATTTAAATACAAAAATCTTATTATTGCTCTACAAGAAATTACCGTGTAAGACATTTTTTGAGTATCGTGTTATTCAAAGAATACGATGTATATTAAGAAAAAATTAAAGCCAAAGATTAAGCCCCACCCATAGCTGCCCCGATCCTAATAGTAATGAAGTTCTCATTCGTTGGCAGACCTAGAGGCGGAGCCTAATTGCAAAATTCATATTTCCTTAAAAAAAATTACCATTTTAAGTGTGTTTTAAGATTCTAACAATAAAAAAAATCATTACAATTGAGACGGGGTGGGTGGGGGGGGGGTAGATATTTTGCTTTTTTTATTAATAAACATCGTATTCTTTGAACACACGATAATCAAAAACTTGTTTTTAATTTCTTTTAATGAAATAAGTATTTTGCACTTAAGCTCCGCCCCCTTAGTTCACGGCGAATAAAAAATCATCACAATTGAGATAGGGCGGGTGGGTGGGGTTACATTTAGCCTTTTTGTTTTAACATGTGTAGACTTGTTTTCACAACATGAAACTTCATTTCAACCATGTTTTAAGTTTCTTGTTCTGAACAGATGGCTATGTATATTAAGAAAAAAAGGCAAAATATAAACCCCCGCCCACCCACCCTATCTCAATTCTGATAACGTTTTTTATTCGTCGTAAGACGACAGGCAACATAAGAATTTAATTGCGGAACGTTCCAGGGAAGTTCAATGCAACTTAAGATATAGGCAACCAACATTACCGATGTCTTATTTCTTCTATGTTGATTTAGTTCAACACTCATAAACGAATTTCTAAGGTCGTTCGACAAATTTTACGTCACGAATTGACTCTGCACCCTTGAACTATTATTACGTCAGCATTAGTGTGGCATGTTTGAATTAAAAAAAATTAGGTCGATAGTATTGATGTACTGATGATAATATTTAGTAAAAAAAATGTAAAATTTTTGAAAAAATCGGTATTCAACTTAAAAATAAATTAACAAAGTTTTTCAATTTATTTATTTTTAAATATGATAAAGTAAATAATGAATTTGAGGTTTTAATAGTTGCATTTTTATTATTACCTATTTTATTGTAGTGACCAGTAACACAATCATTAATCATAAACCGCACACCAAATATAGCTTTATTTTTAGACAGTACGAAATTCAAGCATCCTTCACCCGAATTACTTACCTAAATTAAACAACAAAAAGTCAAAAATCACGTCCAATCTCTGAAATGATGACAAAAACCTCAAATTCGCGTTACTCTTTCAAGGAATCTTAAGTACGTTACATTTTTAGCCTTCTTAAAACAATCATTGAAATAATTACAATGTAGCGATTCTCTAGTACCACGTGCACACATTTGGCAGTACCAAAGGTAAACCACTATTAAAGGTATATAAAAGACCTCTAATTTTGCCACATCAGTCAAAAAGACGACCATGGCCGGTAAACTTTTAATCAGTATTTGTGTTCTCATCACGCTGTGCATTTGTGCCGAAATCCGTAAGTACCCCGACACTAAAATCACCCACCCTTAAAATATTAATTCCAGCGATTAAAAAATGCCAAAGAAAAGACAGCAACTTTAACAAGTGTCTAGTGGGAGCGATTGAACACGTCCTTAGTAAATCGACGTCACCTATCAAAGAAATCGGTATTCCAACCCTGGAGCCTTTAGCAGTACCGTCTCTGACTATAGGGGCTGGTTCTGGAGCGGTTGCCTTCGACCAAAACTACAAAAAACTCAAACTTACAGGAATATCCACAGTCAAGTGTTCCAAAGCAGAGTACGTTAATTTATACTTCTTTACTGACAAACAAAACGGTACCAATTGGTGTTCTTAGTGTCAACTTCTCCACCAAAACCCTCTTCTTGGAATGTAAATCGCCCCTAGTCCGCCTCAACTTCGACTACGAAATCCACGGCAAAATCCTGCTTTTGCCCATTTTTGGAAAAGGCCCGGGCTCCATGGACCTAGGTACTCACCCCCACCCCCATAAAAATAAACTAATCACAGTTTGCAGAAAATGTGGGCCTCCAACTAACCTTCAACCTGGAAGAACAAGAGAAGAAAGGTAAAAAACACTATAAAGTTGCCAGTCAGAAGTTCGTCCTCAACCCGCAGTTGGTCAAGTTCAAACTGGAAAATTTGTTCGACGGAGATAAAGCTCTAGGCGATAACATCAATCAAGTTTTGAACGACAATTGGTCGGAAGTTTTGGCTGATGTTAAGCCGAGTTATGAAGAGGCTTTCGGGAAGATCTTTTCCAGTATTTTTAATAACGTGCTAGGGAAGATGTCCACGACGGAAATTTTCGGTGACGCGTGATGTGATTTTAGAGATTAAGGATTATTTATTTGTTTATTTATTTATTTATGCGTAAATTGTTTAATTATGCTTAGTAATAGATTGTTAATTAAACGTGTTCTGCGTGAGATAACTGGTTTCTGTGGTGGAGGTGATTAGCGTAAAACTGAGAGAACTGGGGCAAGGTCTGTGATGATGTCGGTCGGTGCGGTTTAGCAAAAAATTTTATTGTTATTAAATAGGCAAATATGCATTTTAATTTTGTGGAAAAGCTAAACTGGTTTTTTAAGTGTTTACTCTTAAAGTTAGTGATTTGGATCACTTCCCCGTTTTGGAACGATGGTATCAATCAAACAATTACTAGTGTATATCATAAATCATAAAAGGACGTACAAGATAAATATTATTTATGTTCGTACGAGTATAATAGGTTAGGACGAGTAGTTATTGCAAGGTTGTTCAAGATCAAGAGTAATTAGTTTCAAAGTTCTAATGAAAATAAGTTTTTAAATTGTGTTGTTTAGTTCGACGTGATAAATTTACATGATTCAGTTTTTATTTATATATGCAAAATGCATATTCCTTAAAATGCGGCAAATTCAGCAAATACTAAGACCTTTGATATCTTACTGCTTTCTATTAAATGCGATAAGTAAAAGATGCATTTTTTAAAAAGCGTACCATGAAGTCAGTTCCCGATGAGAGTACCTTAAGAAAAAACTACGTGGACCAAGTGTTTCAAAAAACAAAGTAGGCTATTCTACACTTTCTTGTCGATGAACTGATTCATGTGGACGTTATGTCGAAAATTTGTTGATTGGAACTTGACCAGTAAAAAATGTGGCACTTCACTTGATTAGCGCAAAAGTTTTGAAAAAGACAAATAATAATACCAATACAAGGTTTATGCATGTATAAGCTTCGGATCTTAGGATTTTTGCCTTTTTATATCTACTTCAGACATTGCAGCGAAATTTATATATTTATGCGAATTTAAAAAATTCTATTTATTTAACGCTCGTTTATTACTATCTAAAATGCCTAATTTACCGTTAGAGACCTAAAGTGTTAATTAAACGACCTAATTGTAAATTTTAAAAGGCTTAAAATAGGATTCCACGACCAACGAAGCGGACGTGCTTGCACAATAGAGATTTTCTGTGAATTTATTGCTTTCGCAGATTGTTTACAAATGGGTTGGGAATAATTTGGACACAAATTTTCAATTTCCTTCTTCAACTAAAGACAATGAGTTATTCTGCAAAGTGTCTGGAAAAGTTGTAAGTAAACATTTAAAATACCGAAGCTTGAATTATGTTCACATTTTGTTTCCTAGTTTAAGTGCGAAAAAAAATCATACTTTGAACAACACTGCAGTGGCGATGCACATAAAAAGAACGGGAATAAATCCAGTAAACAGACTTTATTAAACATTAGTTCCGACAATGATTTTACGAAATTTTGCACCGATTTATGTTTATTTACAGCAGCAAATATTCCATGGAATAAAGTTAGTTGTCCTAGTTTAAAAATTTTATGCATAAATATACAGGAAGGCATTTACCCTCAGAAAGTACACCGAGTAAAAAATATTTACCAAAAGATTACGATATGGTGAGCACTAGAATTTTTATATAAAAACTGTTTAACATAAATTTTATAATTTACAGGTAATTAAACAAATTAGAAATTCTATTGGCAATAATAATATAAGGATTAGCGCCGATGAGACGACCGATAGATTAGGAAGATACATAGCCCATTTAGTAATTGGTAAGTTATCTTCTGAAGAAGCTGGCCGTCCATTTCTACTAGCTTTGAAGCAGCTTGATAAAACTAATAGCAACATAATCTCGAGATTTATAAACGAATCATTGGGTGTGCTGTTGATAATTTTAAGCATTGAAATTATTATAATTTATTTAATTGTATAATATGATTCATTGATTTAAATGTACAAAACATCAACAAAATTAAACAGTCGCATACGACCCCTCCTCCGTTTTGGTATTAAGGGCGTTAATGTATCACTTCCAGTCCCTTCAATAAACGGGCTGAGGTCCGCGGCGTGATAGCGTCCAATTCTTTCCATCGATCCCGTTATTAAGTCGATTAATCGAGTAATAACGGTAATAAAAATCAAGTAAGCGAAGTCAAAGTGCGAAGTAAAGTACACAAGAAGTACTGAAGAAAAACCAAGAAGAGTAAGTAGTAAGAAAAAACCCTCCGAGATAAGGTCGTACTGCTCCGAACTGTTGAAGTGGCGGGAAGGCCTTTCCGCTCGAGAAGGTTTGTTGAAAATAACCAATGTCGGATACTGAAGGGTCACTAACAGACGACGGTAAAAGGAAAAGGGAAGACGAATTTCATAAGGTGCTCTCCAAGAAGTCGAAAAAAGCACACAAAACATCACCCAAACAACAAGCAAAAAAGGAAGCAAGTAAAGTAGATATGGCGGGAATCGAGGAAAACACGAAATTACTAAATCAGCTGATTGGGATAGTTGAACAAATAAGGAAAGACCAAACATCTTACATTTCCGAAATAAAACAATTGAAAGAGGAAAACCGGAAAATGATAACACGTATCGAGCTCTTAGAAACCAGACTCATGAGGGTAGAAAAATTGGAAAAGAAAAACAATATAGTAATCAAGGGCGCAGATATCCAGAATGATCCACCAAAACAAGAAGTAGCTGAATTCCTACAAAGTACAATTCAAGTCCAAGCTAAAATCATAGAAGCAACCAAGATAAAAACAACACTAGGAAAGGATATAATTGTTGCGAAACTGGGAAGCTGGGAGGATAAGCAAAACATTATGCAAGCCAAATCCAAGCTCAAAGGAACCAAGGTGTATATTGACAATGATTTAACCAAAGAAGAAAATAGAGTACAAGCCAACCTAAGGAAGCTGGCAAAAAACGAAAGAGACCAAGGAAAAAATGTCAAAGTAGGATATCAGAAACTGATCGTAGACAAGCAGATATGGGACTGGGATGGCAAAACGGAGAAAATAATAGAGAGGAATACCAAGACATAAATCCAGAAGCATCTAAGAAAACGGAGAAAATGACGACGAACTTGGCAAAGAATCTGGCAATGATTAATTCAGGGAATAGCAAGAAAACGTATATGAGAGTAGGAACCTGGAATATTAGAACTCTATCTGAGAAAGACAAGAACTGGTGGACGAATTTCGCAAGGCGAATGTCACACTCATTGCGCTGACCGAAACAAAACAAAAGGGGAAAGGTGAACTCACACTAGGTGAAGAAGTCATACTATACTCAGGAGTGGAAGAAAACTTAAGAGCACAAGCGGGGGTGGGTTGTATAATCAAAAAACAATTTAGAAACAAAAATGTTTTAGATTGGTCTGGGATATCTGATAGAATTATGTCATTAACACTGGAAATAAACAAAGATCGAAAATACAGTCTTATTATTTTATATGGTCCTAACGAGAATGATCCGAAACACGAAAAAGATTCATTTTGGGAGAACGTCCAAAGTGTCTGCGACGAGGCAAAATATCCTGTCATAATATTGGGCGACCTAAATGGAAGAGTTGGAAATATTACAGAAGGAACAGAAGACTCGCTGGGCAGATTTGGGGAAGTAACAAAGAATACAAACGGTGAGAGACTAATTGAATTTGCTATAAACAACAGTTTCATAATATCAAACTCTTTTTTCGAACACAAAGATGAACACAAATATACAAGAGAAGTTAAAAGTAGGAACGAAAAATCAATCATCGATTATGTACTAATAGAAAAAAAGCACAGAAAATTAATAAAAGATGTAAAAGTAAATAGAAATGCTGAACTCGGTTCGGACCACTACCTAGTAATAGTGAAGTTAGGAATCCAGGAAGAGCCAAGAATGATTAGAACTTCCAAGAAAGCAAAGAAAAGCACGAAAGTATATAAACTAGCTGAAGTAGAAGTAAGACGAGAGTACCAGAGGCAGATAAACACAATGATAATAGATTTGGAAAATAGAGATAGTGATTACGACCTAGAACAAATGTGGGGCTGCTACAAAGGGATACTACATAAAGCGGCAGAGTCAGTTTGCGGAACTGTGACAACAGGGGGAAGGAAGAAAAAGACCCACTGGTGGAACAAAAAAACACAAGAAGCAGTAAAGAAAAAGAAAGATGCTTGGAAAAAGTACCACCAAGTAGGGACTACAGAAGCACATGAGGAATATAAAACGTACAGAATCATTGCCAAAATCACAATTAAGAAAGAAAAAGCAAAGGAGTGGGAAGAATTTGGGGAAAAAATGGAGGAGAACAGAAAAAGTAACCAAAAACTTTTCTATGCGAACCTAAAGCGATTGAGACAAGAAGAAAACAAATCAATGAGTCAAATCATTAACAAAGAAGGACAGATTCTCAACAACCCCACGGAAATTCTCCACAGATGGAAGGAGTACTTCACCGAATTGCTCGAAGGAACAGAAAATAATCAAGAAGCATCAAACTACGATGGCACAACGGTATCAGAACCTATAGCTGAGATCACAGAAAACGACATCCACATAGACGAAGTAACATCGGCAATTAAATGATTGAAAAACGGCAAAGCGGCAGGTATTGACGTGATCAAACCAGAGATGATCAAATATATGGGCAGAACTTGCACTAAATATCTACACAAGATACTACAAAGAGCATGGAGATCAAGGAGAGTCCCCGAAGATTGGTCCACTGCAGCGATCATACCAGTACATAAGAAAGGAAATTATAAAAAATGCGGAAATTATAGAGGGATTTCATTATTAAGCGTGGCAGCAAAAATATACGAAAGAATTTTGGAAGTAAGGCTGAGATCAACAGTAGAAGATTCACTGAACGATGCACAAAGCGGTTTTAGGCCGGGCCACAGCGTTGAAGATCATATATTCACGATCAGACAATGCATGGAGAAAAATAGGAAGTATGACAAAGAACTTTACCTATGCTTTATTGACCTACAAAAGGCATTTGACAAAGTCCCAAGAAATCTTATATGGAGAGTTCTAGAAAAACATAACACCGACAACAACTTATTAGAAGCCATAAAATCGTTATACAGAAACAATTGGAATATAGTTAGGGCCCACAATATGAAATCAACTAGATTTGCAACTACAAAGGGTGTTAGACAAGGAGGAGTGCTAAGCCCACTACTATTCATCATCTTCATGAACGAAATCATCTGCAAATGCGAAGAAGAAACCAACAAAACCATAGTCGGGTATAAACATCTACAAAGACAGCAAATCGGAAATTGTACTTTTGTAGATGACATCACCTTAATAGCTAGTTCAGAAAAGCAACTCCAAAACTCCTTAAACAAATGGAATGAGGTCTTAGAAGAATCGAAAATAGCAATTAATACAGACAAAACCAAAGCCATGGTCGTGGCTAGAGATAATAAGCAAATAAACATACGTTTAGGGAGCTCGAGAATCCAGCAGGTAACAGAATCTAAATATTTGGGTACCATAATTGATTCAAATGGAAAACTGGATAGAGAAATTAATGCGAGAATATCGGCTGCAGCGGGAGTCTACATGAATCTTAAGAATGGTTTCATTAACAAGAGAGAAGTCAGTCGAAAAACAAAACTAGCTGTTTATAAGTCCATATACTTGCCTACTCTCCTCTACGGCAGTGAAACCTGGATATTAAGTGAAATTCCTAAGAAAAATCGCAGGAAAAACTCGACTAGACAAGATTAGGAATGAAACAATAAGACAGGAGCTAAATGTTAACAGTGCTATTAGAATTATTGAACAGTCCCAACTACGCTGGTTTGGGCATCTGAACAGGATGGGTGAAAATAGGCAGGTAAAGAAAGTCTGGGAAGCAAGAGGAACAGGAAAGAGGCGTGTAGGGAGACCCAGAGCAGATTGGAACGGTACCATAAGTAGGATTCTGGTAAGAAATAACACATCCTGGCAACAAGCATGAGTACGGTGCAGGGACAGAACAGAGTGGAAAAGTTTTATCAGGGATATAAAATAATACGTTTCAACACTGTAATAATTAGTATTTCTGAATTGTTAATTAGTTGAAATTTCTTAAGAATTATTTAAATTTTTGTTACCTCGACACCGAAAGGTACAAGAGGTCTATTGATTATATATATATATATATATATATACGTCAATAATAACTTTTGGCCTCGCGCCAGATTTAGGCAACAAGTAATGGGAGCATATGAAAACCACATCCTAGCCTCAAACCTGTCATATCAGTGTTCAAATTTGTATTTATGGTTGCATCATTTACAACAAGCGAATGCTTGACACGTTTTAAAGTAGGTAAATATTTGGAGTTATAGTTTAAACTATTTTCGAGTAAAAGAAAGAAAAAGTGGTATGAATCAGTTTATTCAGAAACAATTTTTTGGAATTAAAACAGCCACATAGAGGCTGAAGAAATTAAGATAATCAAAGAGAAAAGAAAACAACTTAAAACTAGGAAAGCTTACTTCGTAGTAAATGCAATTATATTCAATGAACATTTAATACTACTATAAAACACCAAAGTAGATTATTCATATTTCTTATGAAGTTAGAGATTGCAATTATTAACAAAGTTGACAACGTATGGATAAAGTTAAATATATATCTTTTAGTCAAAAGAGGTGTCTGCATAATTTGTTACAGTGTGTTTGCAGGTATATTTGTACAATGCAGCAGCTGCTGTATTCACTATCCAAATGTAATGTATAAATAATTTGTCTGGTGCAGTCTTAAAATTAGGTATTTTTACTATACTTCAATTGGATAAATATTTTTACACATATTTGTAAATTCTCGTGCTTTGCCAGTTTTAGACGTTGGAATTTTAATTATTAGCGTATCGTTTTTGTCTTGAATGCCGTCATTATTTTTCAATTTATCCATTCCACATGCTCCTACAACTTCTAATAAAAAATAAACCTAAAACATAATGATTTATAGACAATGTGATTGACCTTGTTTGAGATCACCTTTAACATCAGGTACATTTAATCACGGGCTTCTGTTAAAAATTTTGGTAAGTCTTCTCTTGTAAATATATTTGATTTCTTGGCAATGTAACCTATATTTTTTGCTTGAAAACTTGGTGTACTTAGATATATCTATGCTGTTTTTTATTAACAGAGTTGACTTTAACTACGACTATGCAGCCCAAAGTGTTAAAGATTTCACAGAATTTGCTTTTTCAGCGAAATACTCGTATGCAATGAGGTGTTCTCCATATATTTTGCATGGTTGTTTCTGCGCAAAAAAAAATTCATACCGCTTTTCATAAACTGTGGCTGAGTTTTTAGGTAATAAATTTGATATATTATCTGCCAGTTTTTGCAAGTTCGGTCGAATGCATGTAAACTGCTTGTTATTATTGCTATCCATCTCTATTTTGCAATTGCTACAGATCTTTCTGCAAGCAAAAATATTAAAAGTGCCGAAAAATAAGAGGTATGCTTCATACTTTCATTTAAAATGGACATGTAAGCTAATAATCTGTTCTGTAATAATAATAAAAGCTTATTATAGGTTATGTAGATACAAGAAAATTGTTCAAATTCTTCCATTCCGCATACTCCTACAACTTCAAATAAAAAATATACCTAAAACATTATGTTTTATAGACAATGTGATTGACCTTCTTTGAGATTACCTTTGACATTAGGTACATTAATCACGGGCCTCTGTTAAAAATTTTCGTAAGTTTTCTCTTGTAAATATATTTGATTTCTGGGAAACATAACCTATATTTTTTGCTTGAGAACTTGGTGTACTTAGATTATATCTATGCTGTTTTATATTAACAGAATTGACTTTAACAACGACTATGTAGCCCAAAATGTTGATTTCACAGAATTTTCTTTTTCAGCGAAATACTCGTATGCAAAATGAGATATTCTCCATATAATGTTTTCCATGGTTGTTTCTGCACCGAACAAAAACTTATTACAGGTTATGTGGATACACATTGTTCGCTGCCATAGAATGTCGCTGCACTTCAAGAAATCCGCTGTTGCCATGCAAGGTTGCGACGTTGCGAGATTACGCGCAAATTTAGTTAATAAATTATATTTATAAAATTAATAAACCGGATGTGTTTCTAATAACTAATAAAAAGGGTTAACAAAGAGTATAGAATTACTGCTAAACCGAAAAACAATTTATAACCTTGTAAAATGTAATTGTGGAGGTAGATAATACTAATATGACAACACCGCATTTAATTTCTGTGCCGATTTTTGAACATAGAAAAAGCACATTACTGCGCGATTTCGAAAAAAGAAACATTACTATTTTTTAGCAGCTTTTAACCTCTCTTTTTATATTTCTCCAAGAAAGGCGTACATGTCAATTTTAAAATACCAGTTTAAGTTGGAGTAAGAAATTTACTTTTATGGTTGTGTGTACAGGCACTTCTACAATTAGCAGTACAAGTTTTTGTTAATCTCTTAAATTATTTTTCTACTTATGGAGCTAATCTGGATATTTGCTTAAGGGTGTGCTTTAAATTTTAGGAATTAATATCTTGGAACGTCATGCATCGTTTCCATACATTTTTGAGCTTCTGTTTTATTTTCTAATCACTTGGAATTTCATTTCCAAAAACAAAAATTGTACTTGAAATGATAGATATGAAGCTCATTATTCCGAAACATGTAATTATAAGATCAAATGTTACTATGCATGAAATGTATTATTTGATATAAAGTAACTTTTGATATCGCATTCTTTAGATTTTTTTCATGGGTACTTTACAGTTAATAGTATCACCATGAAATTGTCTCTTAGATTTGTTTTTCTTTCTTCCGGTATTTGAATCACAATTTGATAATCTTAAAACAACGACAATTAATTTAACTTTAGCTTGAGTTGTGAACCTGAAAGTTGTTTTGTATGAATTTGTGTGACAAAAGTGTACTAAAGATGAAAATAATTACTTATACTCTTTTATAATCATTAATTACATTTGTAGCAATTTTTGGCCTCTCGTATTTTATATTATTTTATCCAAGAAACAAGCGAAATTTGAAAAACCAGTTTAATATTTTAATGGAGCAGTAATTATGAACCCAAATGTTGCTATGGATAAAAACTATTATTTGACTTAAATTAACTTTTGGAATCACAGTCTATGGATTTTTTTCGTAGATACTCCACAGTAAACAACATAATTATAAATCTGTCCCTTTGATTTATTAATTTCTCAATGCGCCGATATTTGAAAGACGATTTGGTATTCTTAAAACAAGGGTTACTAATTTAATGTTTCCTTGGACTGTGAGTCTGAAAGTTGTTTTGTATGAATCCATATGGGGTCAAAGTGTACTAAAGATGAAAAGAATGACTTCGTTTATAGCAACTTTTGGCTTCTCGTGTTTAATATTTCTCCAAGAATGTTTTTAATTTTGTAAGATATTGGGCCAATAAAACATACACCGACAACATTATTTGCAATTCTTCCAACCACCATTCATAAAATATCAACTTTTGCATCTTTAATTGAAATATTGTTCAATTCTAATCTAAACCATGAAAACTATAATAAAGAACTTCAGTCCATAAAACAAATTGCAATAAATAATGACTTTAAAGTAAAATTAATCCACAATCTAATTGACAAAATAAGATACAAAATTAAAAAAAAAAACAATGTTGCTCGTTGTTCAAAACGGACCATGATACTAAGGAAGACATAGGTGGATATTATTTTCTGGATTTTATTGAAACATTATCTTACAAAATTAAAAACATACTAAATAGAGTGAATAAAAATGTTAATATTTCATTTAGAAAAATTAATTCAACCAGAAATCAGTTACTGAACAACAAAGATAAAATTACTTAACTAGATAAAGCCGGAGTCTATCAATTACAATTTGAATGTTGAGATTGTGCCTTAAATTTTACGAATCCATATCGTGAAATAATACACCTCATGAATTTCACTGGCTTGTGTTGAAATTTCGGGTTTCCAATTTTAAATTTATTAATCTAGTACTTCGTTCCAAAAACAAAATTGTGCCCGGAATGATGGGTTAATTACCTGTTTTCACATATACGAAGCGCACGAGTCCGAAAGTTACCTAACATGCAATTATGAGGCTAAATGTTGCTATGGATGAAAACTATTATTTGAATTAAAGTAACTTTTGGCATCACAGTCTTTAGATCTTTTTTCATAGGTATTTTACACTTAACAACATCATTATGAATTTATTTCTTAGATTTATTTCTCAATCCACCAATATTTGTCTTAACCTCATAGAAAATGTTTCGTCTTATGGAAAAAATCTGAATCTTTACACTTGGGGGTGTGCCTGAATATATAGCACCGAATATTGCCTCACATGAATTTTACTGCCTCGATTTGACCAAATTTTGGGTTTCCGATTTTAGATTTAATCATGTACCTAGTACTTTAAGATATGTTAGCACATGAGTCCGAAATTATGAGGCCAAAAGTTTCTATGGATGAAAGCCATTATTTGATTTAAAGTAACTTTTGGCATCACAATCATTAGGTTTTTTTAATAGTTACTTCACAATTAATAACACAATTATGACTTTTTCTTGTAGGTTTATTTCTCTTATTTGTTATTAAAATAACTGCTGTTAAGTTAATTTTAGCTTGGGTTGTAAGTTTGAAAGTTGTTTTCTACGATTCTGTGAGGCCAAAGTCTACAAAAGATGAAAATAATTTTAGGTTAGATAGTTCACCACTCTGTCAATTATTTATTTTTATTTATACTATTTTCGTGTGGTATAGCAAGAATAATGGTCAACAATCAAGTATTTTAGGCTCAAAAAACGGCAGATCAAATTCCTGATAGTATTAACACTAATAAGTCTAAAAATTTAACCAAATATTGACTTTTTAAAGTGTTATAGGTTTACTGACGAGGTGGCTGAGGAAGGGGATGAACCCTGAAACTGGTATCACCAAAATAGTATAAATAAAAATAAATAATTGGTTGATTGCAGAACTACCTAACCCAACTTTATACCCGCGCTAATATGGAAACACACATACCAAAATAATTAGCTCATTTATAGCAACTTTCGAACTCTCGTATTTTATATTTGTCTAAGTAGCAAGTACTTAAAAAATTTAAATTATCACTTTAACTTTGAATAAAAAAATATTTTTATGAATGCGTCTACAGATTCTTCTACCATTCACAGTCTAATTTTGTACTAACTTCATACAAAATGTCTCGTATTATGGAAAAAATTTGAATATTTACACTTGGGGGTGTGCCTGAATATATAGCACCGAATATTGATTCACATGAATTTTACTGCCTCGATTTGACCAAATTTTGGGTTTCCGATTTTAGATTTATTCATGTACCTTGTACTTTAATGTATGTTAGCACATGAGTCCGAAAGTTATTCGTCATGTAATTATGAGCCCAAAGGTTCTATGGATGAAAGCCATTATTTGATTTAAAGTAACTTTTGGCATCACAATCTTTAGATTTTTTTAATAGTTACTTCATAATTAATAACACAATTATGACTTTTTCTTGTAGGTTTATTTCTCTTATTTGTTATTAAAATAACTGCTATTAAGTTAATTTTAGCTTGGGTTGTAAGTTTGAAAGTTGTTCTCTACGATTCTGTGAGGCCAAAGTCTACAAAAGATGAAAATAAGTTTAGGTTAGATAGTTCAACATTCAGCCAATTATTTATTTTTATTTATACTATTTTCGTGTGGTATAGCAAGAATAATGGTCAAAAATCAAGTATTTTAGGATCAAACAACGGCACATCAATTTCCAGATAATATTAACACTAATAAGTCTAAAAATCTAACCAAATATTGACTTTTTTAAAGTGTTATAAGTTTACTGACGAGGTGGCTGAGAAAGGGGATGAACCCTGAAACTGGTATCACCAAAATGGTATAAATAAAAATAAATAATTGGTTGATTGCAGAACTACCTTACCCAACTTTATACCCACGCTAATATGGAAACACACATATCAAAATAATTAGCTCATTTATAGCAACTTTCGAACTCTCGTATTTTATATTTGTCTAAGTAGCAAGTACTTAAAAAATTTAAATTATCACTTTAACTTTGAATAAAACAATATTTTTATGAATGCGTCTACAGATACTTCTACCATCCACAGTCTAATTTTGTTTTAACTTCATACAAAATGTTTCGTATTATGGAAAAAATCTGAATATTTACACTTGGGGGTGTGCCTGAATATATAACACCGAATATTGATTCGCATGAATTTTACTGCCTCGATTTGACCAAATTTTGGGTTTCCCATTTTAGATTTATTCATGTACCTTGTACTTTAATGTATGTTAGCACATGAGTCCAAAAGTTATTCGTCATGTAATTATGAGGCCAAAAGTTTCTATGGATGAAAGCCATTATTTGATTTAAAGTAACTTTTGGCATCACAATCTTTAGATTTTTTTAATAGTTACTTCATAATTAATAACACAATTATGACTTTTTCTTGTAGGTTTATTTCTCTTATTTGTTATTAAAATAACTGCTATTAAGTTAATTTTAGCTTGGGTTGTAAGTTTGAAAATTGT